CGGTGACGATTCACGACGAAATGTTTGAGGGGTTTTGTTCCTCGCTCGACAAGGAACACGATGGTGGTTTTGGCTCGTCGATCGGAGGTCGGACGGCGAGTATATCAGAGATCGAATGAGGGTTGAAGGGAGAGGGAAACTGGGAAATTAATCTGCAAAACATACGGGAAATGGGGGTTATAATTCTCCCAAAATAAAATATGGGTAAACCATGAGTTTAGCCACTGAACTTCCTTCACTTCTCAAAACGGTCTGTAAACTTTGAAATTATTCAATTTAATCCACCGTTTCTTTCAAAATACCAATTAAATCCACCAATTTATATTTTCTTAAATTTAACCCCTAAATTGAGGTGTTACAAAAACAAATAAAAAAAATGGAAGGCTTTAGTTATAAACTAGCTAGCCAGATTAAATTAATGTAAAGATGAAGGTACATACATTGTGCTAAATCATGCTGTCCAATCACCAAATTTCCAAATCTCATCAACTTGGTTGATCTTTTGTATGCACCCCATGTGTCTAAGTAAACTTTGAAAATTTTCTTAACGTATCATCTTCATTTATTTATTAGTAATATACATACATATATATACATATGGACGCATATTTTATATTAGGAGATAAAATATATTATTAATAAAAAATATAAAAAATTTCTCACTTATCTCTTTTGATCTATCCCTGGAACAGGAAATATATACCAGTTTTATATGCATGCAATGCTCCATTTAGTTGGTCGATTTAGTCTAAGAAACCTTTATTTCAACAAATGGGATTGTATTTGTTTAAAGGAAATATAAAGTTTAAATAGATAATGTTATTGTTTTAGGGCAAAGAGTTCAACTTTGTCCCCATCTTTATTATCAGTACTTCCCATTGTCATAAAATTATAGAATTGTCTTTGAGTTTATGGGTGTTATTAACACTTTCGAATTACCAGATTAGACGACTCAACTATCTTGAAATTTTTACGTATAAAAAATAAAAACATGAATTTACACGGTGATATAAAAAACCTGAATGATATAGTGAAGATATTTTGATAAAATATTGATATGGAAAGCCTTTTAAGAAATGAGATGATAATGGAACCATATTTATTTTAAAAGTTTGAAAATTATTCTCAATAATTATAATATAATATTTACTATTAATTTTTGAAAACTATTAATATTATACACCCATTTTATAACGTACTCAAACTTTTTAGAAAAATGTTTTTTTCTTGTCGTTAATGCCATTCAATTTCGTTACATAATTCTTGTTTCATATTTATTTCTATCTTTTCATGTTTGCAGGTCACCCTGTCGCGTTTCCGTATCTTATCCCTACTCTTTTTATCAGCACAACCTTGGGCCTTCGTGGCATTGTACTAAATAATCCAAAAGGCAAGGCTTTGAAAAATCTCAGCTCATTGAAGAAACAGTTCTGTATTTTCTTTTACAAGGCTTTGGCTCAGCTAATCCTACCCATTAAGGGACCATCAGAGTCGGTTTAGCCACATGGTTTCTTTCACTAATATTTTACAAGTACATATTATCACATCTTATTAAGTGATCTTGATAAGTGAAGAGAGTGTTATCCATTTTTAAAATTTTAAGTTAGAACAATCATGTCTATAAAATGTGTATATATTATTAATATTTTTTTAAAAAATATGAACAAACAATACATTATAATCATTATAGACTATTCGAAAATATATATTTCTTTCGCACTATTTTATAATTTTATTTTCTTCTTACAAATTTATAGGTTTTATTATTTTAACTCTTTGTTATGCTGAATTGAGAATCATTATTTTGTAGTTTTTTTATTATTATTTAAAGATATCAATAAATTCATTTCATAATTTTTATCATTTTGCTGTAGCTGTAGCCCCGACACAAGTGGTGTCAGAACGAGTTGTCGGTGTAAGTAGTTTACCCGTCTGACTTAGTGGCAAGCAGTGACAGAGCGAGTTGTTACTGGCAAACAACGATCGTTTTGTACGTGGTTTGGGGAAGCAAGTCAAAGCAAGTCGGAGTGTAGGTGTTGTGGATTCAACAGTGATCCGAGCTTGTCTTGTGACAAGAAGCATTTTAGCGAGGTGATGGAAGCCGTTGTGGATTCAACGAGTGTTCCAGACAGGTTGTGGAAAGGAAACGAGATGGCACAACAAAAAGGAGTTGTTCCTATAGAGGATGGCGCGGAGAGCCGTGGTGTTGGGATTGAGCTAGAGAAACAATGTGTGGGAGTTACCCCAGGATCATTGGAGGTGAGGATCAAGAACCTTGAGAGCTTCACGGAAGAAGCCAAGGAGGTCCAAGGAGTTATGGAGTCCCGTCTTGAACAGTTAGAATCCATGAGGGATGGGTTCAAGGATGTGGCGCAACAGAGTCTCCACGGTTGGACGTTGATAGAGATGAGTAATGCGCTCAAGGTCGAGTTGATGGCCTTGAGGGAAGAGATGGATGGGCTCAAGAGTGAGATACTCATGCGCAAAACAGTAATGAGTTATGGTGGTGCGTGCAATACCTTCATCGAAGGACTTAGACCAGGGGTGATGTTTGCCAGTGAGCAAGGTGATACCCAGAGTTATTCGGAAGCCGGAGCTGTAGCCGAGTCAAGGTGCGAGCTTGCAGGAGCCAAGCCAACCGAAGATGAGTCATCCAGACCCATGCCCAAAGATAGTGGTGAAAATGGGGGAGACCATGACGAGGGACAGTGGATAGATGGCAGAGAAAACTCTTCGAGTAGCCAAGAAGTGGCATCGACTGATCGTGGTCGGATAAAGCCATCGGGGAATCATGGCAAGGCCAAGTCCGTGTTAAAGAAGAAGGTGAGTAACAAGCCTCTTAAATGCTACTTCTGTGATGGTCCTCACTTGATAAGAGGATGCCCCGAGAAGAATCGCCTTGCTGCCATTGTCAAAGGAGAAGGCAAGTCAAAAGGGGAAGTAGCCGATGATGGTGCGACTGCGGGAGTCGAAGCAGTCAAACCAGGAGCGAGGCTCGGCGCGAATGCTAGTGGTGCAGGAAAGCCGAGGGTAAACAAGCGAGATCCACTGAAGTGCTTCATATGTCAAGGAGCACATAGGGCCAAGAGTTGCCCAAACAAAGCAAAGCTCGGTGCCAATACGAGTGGCGAAGCAACTAAGCCGAGGATAAAGAAGCGAGAGCCATTGAAGTGTTTCCGATGTGATGGAGAACACAAGGTGCGAGATTGCACCAATGAAGCAGGACTCGGTGACAATGCGAGTGGCGAAGCAACTAAGTCGAGGGTAAAGAAGCGAGAGCCATTGAAGTGTTTCCAATGCGGTGGACAACACAAGGTGCGAGATTGCACCACCGAAGTAAAGCTCAGTGCGAAAGCTAAGGGCCAAGCTGAAGAGCCGAGGGTAAATAAGCGAGAGCAACTGGAGTGTTTCCGGTGCAAAGGTCCACACATAGTGCGGGAATGCCCAAACCGAATCAAGCAGTCCAAGGGAAAGGACAAGGTCGAGAGTAGCGAGCCTGCCAAGCTTGGTTCAATGGTGTTTACTACTGCCAAGGTTAGTCAAAACCAAAAGCAGAACGGGTTGCCCAAACCCAATTTTGCCAAGGAGCTTTCCAAGGATACCGAGGAGGTAGCCGGTGCTGTTGAAGCTGGAGTTGGCAAAGGACCAAAAGAGTCCGAGACCCTTCAAGAGCAATCGAGCTCAGTGCATGCCGAGAGTGAGGCATGGTCTAAGTTGATGAATCTTAGACATGATGGGACGTTGAAGGAGTATGTGAGAAAGTTCGAGGAACTCATGCTCCAAGTCCCAGAGCTGACTGAAGAAGATGCATTCTTCACCTTCACAGATGGATTGAAGCCATGGGCAAAGGCGACGATGGAGAGAAGGGGAATCAAGGAGTTGTCTAAAGCCTTGATAGCCGCCGAGTCCATCATAGAACTTGGATTCAAGAAGACATCCAAGACAAAGTTGAAAGCCGAGGGTAATGGCGAAAATATTCGAGATGAGGGTCAGTCCAACAATGATGAGGAGCAAGGCTCTTCGAGTGAAGCTTGTTCGAGTGAAGTTTGTTCGAATGGTGAGCATTTGAGCATTGATCGTTCAAGTGGTGAGCACATGTCAAGAAAAGACATGAATGATGTTGGCACAAGTAAAGCGAACAAGTGCCTTACACCGAGGGCAAGAAAGGAGCAGACGAAGGGTCACCGAAGTAAGGGGCCACAAGAGTTGCAAGTTTGCCGGGATGAAGCCGAGTGGTCCGAGAGGATGGAGAAGCCCAGGCAAGTAGAGGCCGAAAGCAGAATGGGTTGATGTGTGCGAACATCAACGTTGCCGAACCATCGGGAGTTGCCTTAGTAGACACAGGGGTAACTGATCCATTCATGTCAAAGAAGGATGCCGACAATCTTGGTTTAAGAGCTGAACCACCGAAGGGGGCAATCAAGACTGGCAATTCTGAAGAAGTTCCAATGGAGCGGAATGTTGTTTTAAGGACTACCATCGAAGAGACAACTGAGAAGTGGTTGATGGAGTCTAAGCCTTTAAGAGACATGATGGGCAAGAACTTGCCACCCATGTAAGAGGGTGGAAGTCGCACCGGACTTCAAGGGAGGAAGTGCCGATGCGAGTAGAAACACCAGACTTCCGGATAGAAGTGTTGGTGTGTGGAGTGCCAGACTTCACGGAGTAAGAAGGGCTGACACGTAGAGTAAATGTGCTGGGGGAAATCGAGGGACATCTCAAATACATTCCAAGTGTTGAGTTTGATTCACCATCGTTGATGAGCATAGGTCGAGGACCTAACCATCTTTTTACGGAGTTATCAAATGTTGGAAGGGACATCTGAGACTTTCAGAGTTCTTAGGGACAAGAGAGTGTTGCCGATGAATCTGAGTTGTCGTGTTGTATGTTGCCGGAGTATCCAATTCTTTACCGCTGGATAAAAAAATATCCTTGTTTGGGTGAATGCAAACGGGTAGGATGGATTTCCTACGTTCGAGATGAATGCCAAGGTTCGCTAGATGGTAATAAGACATGACGGTGTTAACCAAGGCGAGGAAGCCAAGGTGGTTGTTAAAGCGTCCAAGGTGATCAAGACCAAGTGTTCTCACCTAGCGACGAGGGCGTCGCTAGATCAAGTGGGGGAGATTGTCACGGACTAAACTTTTGGGTCCATGGGCATTGGCGTAAAGGTTCACAGAAGGGGTTCAATTACGCAGACTTTGGGCTTGTTGGGCATGGTGAGTTGGCCTGGTTCTTGGAGAATGCTTGCGGGTCCGTAAAGGCTCGAGTTCGTGAAGGATCAAGTCCGAGGCGTTCGAGAGAAGCGACGAGGGTGTTACATGTTCGATGGGGGCAATTTTGTCGAGGCTCGTGGATTCGGACCGAGACATGTGTGAGCAAATTTCTGTAGAAGAATAATACAGAGTGTTGGGCTTGCCCAGAACCATCAGACCTGGCCCGTTCCTTGGAAGATTCCAGAAAGAATATTATTATCCAATAATTAAGGATTTAATTATGGATAATGTTTTATTTGAATTCAAATACCTTAGAGATAGAGTTCTGTTAAGGTAGGATTCAATGTAAGCCGTCGATGTACTTTGATCTAGACCGTTGGATCTTGAGGGCCTCAACTATAAATAGAGAGCTCCTCCCCTCATTTGTAATCACTCACTTCATTCATTATCTTCAGAGTAATAAAACTCAGGCATTTACTCTTACTCTCTCTGAGTTCTTTCTTTCTAGCTCTCTAGCTTGCAGCTTTCTAGCCTTGTCGGCTTGATCTCCTTTGTGCTTAAGCCTTGTGGCTTGTGTTACCGATCGGGAGGGCTGAGATAGCCTCGGGAGTGTTCTTTTCCGAGTTCTTTCAAAGTGCCAAAGTGATTCAAGTCTCGGTGACTTAGAAAGTTCCCACAACGCACGTGCTTCAGAGATCTGCTTCAACCCAGGTGGCTTGGAGTAAAACTTATCAAAACTTGAAATTTCACAAAAATTCTATTCAATGTAATCCACAATATTTTCCCATGAATGTCGGGGTAAAGGAATTCAATTAAATTCAATATTTACTTAATTCAATTTAATTTCCGAATGACTTATGTGGTAAAATAATTATTGTTATTTGTTGATGTCCTGAGTTCTATCATCATGAATATTAGAGGATTAAATGTTTAATATTAAATGATTGAGAGTTATATTTAAACAAATATTATCTTGTATTTATCCTAGATTAATATATATATTCATCATCCAATCTACATGAAATCAAAATATATAGATCATCTCTTTATTCTATATCTCTTCATCATTGAAATTTAAAAGTAGATGTTTGAGCTTAAAAAAAAAAAAATATAATTTAAAATTAATTTTTTATGTAAGAGTAAAAAATATAAATATTTGTTTAATACAAGTAGTCGAGATTATATAATTTGAGCTTAAATTTAAATACTACCGATATCACTTTTGATGGATATTTTATAAATTTTTATATAAATAATTTATTAAGTAAATCCCAGGTAATAATTGTCTTCGTCTTGTTTAATTTTTAGGAATTTTTTTTAATGCTATATCTAGATATTTATGTAATGCCTTCTTTTTGATGTCCTGATTTGATTTGTTTAAAAGCAGCTAAACTTAAACAAAGCTACGTTTAATTCCTTTTGGGTTCTTGTTTTGGTGAAATTTGATAAAATTTTTCGATGAAAAATTTAGTTCCTTTGTTTTTGTGATTTGGGTTTTCTTTGGTTTCTTAAGTTTTTGTGTTGTTGTAATGATTGATGACATTTTGATTTCAAACCAATGGAGATTTATATTTATTTGTTCGAACAAAAGATAAATAGTTGGGCGTTTTCGTTTTGTTTTCTGGTGCTATAACAGATGGTCAGGGAACGGCAGGTTGGTCGTTCAAGCAATTTTAAGAAAAGCGTGTTGGATGATTTGGATGAAGATTATGTAGCTTCGGAGGACGGGAATGATGAATCCGATGATGATGCAGAGGATTACTGTTCTTCGTTAAATGAACGTGCATCAGTAGAGGGTAATCGGTTTTTCAATGAGGAGGATGAGGGGGAGAGGAAAAGGTGAGAACAGTTGTTAGGTTGAGAAGAGTATGGGTTTCTTCAGCTAGGGAGAGGAATATTATCAATAGAAAATTGGTAAATTGGAAACGTGTATCCTATGAAGAATGGGAAGACGAGGATTATGAGCAGGATGATGAAGAAGAGGTGGAAGATGAGGAGGAGGAGGAATTCAGTCCAGATGAAGATGATTGTTTTGACGAGGAATTCACTCCGGATGATGAAGAAGATTGTTTGAATGAGGAATGCACTCCGGATGATGAAGAAGATTGTTTGGAATTTGGATGAGGAAGAGGAATTGACTGTGCAAAAGAAGAAAAACAACACAAAAGTTAGTAAGCGAGATCTTCGGGAAAAGAATTCTTCTAAATATAGGACAAAGAGGAAGAAGTCTTCAGTTTCTAAGAAGCCTCTGAGAAAATGAGGAAGGAAGAAACATCGGTTGAAAAGAAAAGGAGGGCTGAGGAAGACGATAATGATGGTTATGGTTCTATAGACAACACTCCAGCTCCAAGAAAAATAGCAGAACTAATGCAGGACGGAGAAAAAAGCATACGTTGTACCATCAGGTTCAGATTTTGTGTCATCCGGATCATCTGATTACGAGTATACCATCTCTGAGGAAGAGAGAGAGCAAGTGAAAGGTTTAAAATGTAGTTTGAGGAGTTCATCATCGTCAAAGAGAGTTCAGTAGTTTTAGGAGACTGGCCACCCTAATAAACCTCTGGGAATAAAGCGTAAGGAGAAGGTAGAGGAAACAAAGGCGGAAGTAATAAAACCAGTTTGTGGAATTTATCTCACCGAGGAAAATAAGTGAAAATTGAGGGGCACACTGAACTGTTGCTGTCATTATTTTTGTTTTACCTGTATTATGGAGTGGCCAAAAGTGGAATCTCGTTGCCCATTGTACAAGCGAAGGTTCGAAACTATCAGTAAAACTGACAGGTTAGCAGCTGGAGTTGATTTGAGATGGTCGAGATACAAGTACAAAAAGCACGATCAGGTTTGTTATATTTCTTCTCATAATGTTTTTATGTGTAATAGTTTTTGTTTTCCTAGCTTTGTTTTTTATTTGTGATCTTGAATGGGCATGTTTTTGTTGTCTACAGATCTACCCACCTTCCGAGGAAGAACTGAGAATCTATCTCGATCCATATGAGAATGTCACCAACGTGGAGATGATGAACTCATGTTACTATGCGATATTTGTGATTCATCAGCACACATATTGTGTTGGTCTCGGTCGGGAAGTACCTGAAGGCAGTTGGTACTGTGATGGTTGCAGGCCTGTTGCTATTGGATTCTCTTGCCGATCAAAGGACAATAAACAATTTATACAGTAGGTTTTCACTCGCTTTGAATGGCGGAGAAAGTTTAGACTCCACTGTAGGTCCTTCACCTCGCATGCCTTCTTCTCCCAGTTTTGTGCCTTCATCTCCGGAATCTGGAGTGGGAGCTCCAACTCTGTCTGGAAGACGATGGCTACATTGCCATATTCAAAATATTCGTTCAATGAATAGGATGAATTTTATGGCTGATAGGAGTGATGATGATATCAACCACCAATATGGGTACCGATTTTATAAACTCTCACACGGATCAGAGTAGGGAAACGACAGTTCAACAAGCGAGGTCACAAGATACGGGAATTCAGCATCAAACAGTATTTGAGGAGAGATTACAGAATGATCCATCTTCTTCACTGCCAAGTATTGAGTTATGTTCTTCAAGGTTGGGCAATTTGAGAGGAGAAGCAGTTCAGGATTCAACTAGCCCAACATCCAATACTTTGGTCAATTTGACCATATGGCCCGAACTCATCGGTATCAGCTCAAATGACCAACTCTGTCAGTGCAGCAACGGATCAAACAGCGGGCCTGATGGTTGTTCACCTTTTTCTGTCAGATATGAGGATAATTTTTAAATGGCCAAGGAATGATTGCAACCAATGGTTAGAAACCATTTGAGAGCCTTGTCCAATAATATTGATTTAGGCAAGAGAAACCCTGTCTGTGATTTGCAGTTTGCACTTCTGTTGGAAAATTTTCAAGTGCTTTCTATGCATATATATACGCAGACAATGGTCCTTTTAAGGACATAATAAGTGCCATGCACACGTTATTGGCTGCTTGTGGGCTTGAGCATATATATCCGCCATCAACTTGTACAAGCATTCAAAGAGTGACAGCTGAGCAGGCAAGCTTAATGAAAGGTTGTTGCTTAACTTGTTTTGTTTCTTTTGTAAAAGATGTAGCGAAGAGGATCATAGATACACGATCCCCACAGTGGTTGAGCTTAGGTCCTTAGATCTTTGATGTAGTAGATGTACCCTTCTTTTTCTCTGGTTAGCAGTCTAACCGATTTTTAATTCGATTTCTACTTATAATTCACCGACATGAGTGCAAAATGTGCTCTATTCTCATTTGATCACCATAATATACTGTTGTTCTCAATGCTGATTGCATTCATTGCTGAAGCTCTTTGTTCTCTTCCTCTGTCCTTCTCTCCTCTGACCGATTGATTCTGCATCTCATTTGTGCTCACAAGTACAAAAATGATGCTTAACCGATATGATATCCAACGGAATATATCTATGGCCACGTCGTATCTGTCAAATAATGATGTGTTAAAGACATGACTACTATGTTGACGTGTCATTATCAACATATGTTAGGTAATAAAACATATTAAATTTCGAAGAAATAATCTGAAATAATTTTAGAGACGTACTGTCGGGAAGAACTACGAACCTTAATAAAAACGAATTTAGTTATATAATTGCATAATTTTATAGTTAAGTGGCCAAAACAGAAATATTATCAAAGTTTAGATACTAACATTATAGTTTACCCAAACTTGAAAGAACTAATTGACCTGTCATAACTCATAACGTGGATCTTGATCGGGCCGAGGGACTTATGAACCGATCCTACTAACTGAGATGCAGAATAAAATTCAAAAAATACGAAAAAACAGTAACAACACTTCTAATACGAAAAAACACAGCATAATAAAATTCAAAAAATAATCCCCCACTCCTTAAGGGTGCGTTTGGTTCATGGAATATAACATTACCTATGGGAATGAGATTACCGGAATGTAACATTACCTGATACATTACTGGAAATGTTACATTACTGTGTTTGGTATGTTTGGCAGGAATATATGATTACAGTGTTTGGTTGAAGGAATATGAGATTACTGGAACGTGTATTTTACCAAACTATCCTTGTTCTATATGTGTTAACGGAATTCTAAATATTTAAATGAAAATATTTATATAAAAATCATCGAAAATATATTACTTTATTATTTTAAATTTATATACTTTTTAATAAAATTTATATATAAATTTTTTATAAAATTTAAAAGATAAATGGGTAGAATAAAAGAGTAAATATATCATGTATTATTTTAATTATAAATAATATTATTTTTTACATTATTTATCTAAAAATAGATTAAAATTTTACATCAACATTTAATTAAATAAACATATGAAAATTTTAATAGATGAACCATTTTACTCCTACCAAAATATAGGATGATGCTCACTTATTTTACTGAATTCTCTGTAAATGATAGTGTGTGTATGTTATATTTAAATTCTGCAATTCTACCTTGCAATTATTTACATTAGTCAAGTAAACTTTATTTATCATATTTGTATTAGAAAAATAAACTTGTTGATTCTTATAATTTTTAAGCTTTATTAAATGTTAGCACATTTTTCGTTTTTATAATTTAAACATTTTTTTCTGTAAATGAGAACAAAACATCATACAAAACAGATTCATTTTATTTCAACAGCAACCTATTGACTTTGCAAGACCCTTTTTATTTCAACACATCATATTCATTTTATTTTGCACATAGTAATAAACAGAATACAAACATGTGGTATTGTTGATACCCATTATGATGCAACATAACAATTCTTGATGAGTCAATGCTCCTTTAGTATGGCCCTTCATAACAACTGGCACTAACAATTCATGCACCAATCCCAGGCAGTCAGCAGTAGGCGTGGCCACATCCATTACATAAGAAAGATACCTGTAAAAAATGTACAGATACCAGACCTAAAAACATTGACCAAAACAGTAACCTTCTAAAATATGAATGCCAACAGGACAAAAAAAATAAAATAAAAGGCAAAATTCAATTACCTTAGCTTGGTGTAGACATCAGAAACTCCATAATACAAGGCAAACTCTGTTAACAGCCATTTCCATGATCCATATAATTATAAATTTCTTTGTTGGAATCGTTGAACCTTCATTGCAACTTCCAAGACAAGGTCATAAGCAACTGTTTCTGCAACATAACCACACTAAAAAAGAATGCAATTAATATCACAAAACCATTGCAGAATTAATTCATTTTTTTAGATTAAACAACTAAATATTAGACAATAGTACCAAATTGAAAGCAAACAAATAGACCAAACCTTCTTTCTTCAAACTATGAGCTACAGACATCAATGCAATTAATTAAGGAACTACGATTTAAAAGTTTAAGCTAATCCAGACTAGTTCACCTTGAGATGACTATTATCATCTGAAGTTGAGTAGTATATATACAGCTGAAGCTTGCCTACAGGTTCATGTTCTGGCTCACGGTAGATAGACCACCAGCGCAACTTGTCCGTCTACATTCAACTTTCATATGAGCATTATTAAATAAAATAAAATTACAAATTAAGTAGAACTAATTGTCGGTATTTTGGAACAATACCAAATCTTCAGCAGCAGCAGCCACTTGTACAAGGACACGACCCAAATGCTTCCCCTTGGAGTATTAAACTTCAACAATTAGTTCATCTCCCAAACTATCTGGGAAGCTGCAGGAGGTATCGGTTCCTATCTTGTCAGTAACAGTCTTAGAGAAATTTAGAGAAAGCAAGAGAGTTAAGGAATAGTTGCATACAAGAGATGTGTTTCACCAGATCCAGGCTGCATTCTTATGTTGTTTTATTCAGTCGAACTTTTCATCCTCAGCCTGCAAGCATATGTTTCTAATGACATGTATGGACAGAGAGGAAAGGATGTTGTAAAATTATAGAAAAAATAACAAGTTGGATAATCCATAACTAAAAAGGAAGATAAACCGGAAGAAACAAATATCCAAGCAAAACTACAGAAAAGTACAATCAAAATGTTTTAGTTACAAACAATTAAATGCAGATGCCCTTAAAGCACCTTCATCTTGCCAACAATTTTCTTAGGTTTTGGGGCAGCTGCCTCATTGGTAAGCTCGGAAGAACGTTTTTCCATTAGTTCCTCTTCTGATTGCAACAGAACTTGTTGTAATCTACGTAGCACGTGGAAATTTTAAGGAAAACAAAAGAAAAATTAATGGGTGTAGAACAATAGAGCATACCTTTTTACAAATCTAAACAATTCCAAATCTTCCAAAATCAGTTAAAGAACCAAATTCAAAATCTTTAGATTGTTTCTTTCTGAGAAATGGATGCATTTTCATCAATGTAAGAGGTGCCTATCAAGTGTAGTCATATATGTAAATATTGGACTACTAGACGTTATGAAAACTTTTACTAAACTAATGAAATCAAGATAGTTCGTTTGATACCAAAAACCAAAAAATTTCTATTTGTATTAAGATTTCTGTGAACATTTACTGCCTTTACCATTAACTTTCAGATTTCAGTTTTACCTAAAGTCAGAGACAAGGAACCAAACTGACTGACATGCTGCACATGGAGGTTTAAGCAGAACCAAATATAACAGCTCCAATAACAACTACAATACCTAGGAGAAGGAATTTTGATATTAACTTAAGACAAGACAAACCATGGAACGAAAAAAATTAAAACAGAACACACAAAGGGAAACTTAAAACCCATGGCATGGATGACTAAAGAAACCCTAAATAACATATGAAAATCTTATTGGGAAAAGAATCTAACTCAGGGGAAAAGAATCTAACTCAGGGGAAAATAACCAAATGCAAAATAAGAGGTCCAAAATAGGAATCAAACGCAACATTAGGAAAAGAATCAAAGAGAAATCTTACCGGTAAAACCATGAAATTAAATTCTTGGACAGAAGCAAGGTCAGGGGAGAAGAAGATAAAAGAAAAGAAATTTTAATGGGAGAAAATCTAGAGCGGTGGAGCGTGAGGAAGGAACGAGGTGCTTTGCAAAGGGATTTCAGTTTTAGGAATTCCCATTTTGAGAACACAAACCCATAACCAAGTCGAAGAAGAAGAAGATTTCAGCCATAACGAAGTGGGATAGAAGGCTATTTTAGAGAACGAAGACGGGAATAATGAAATACCTAAGGAGATGCGTGGATAGATATTCCCGAGAAAATAGTAAAAAAATCACTGTTGGTATTATTTTTTAACGGGCATTTGGTAATCTACTTCCATCCAAACGTGGATATATTTATCCAGGAAAAAAACATTCCTCCCAGGAATAAATCATACCTTGAACCAAACGGGGCCTAAGGAAAATGATCACGTGCGGTAATTTTAATATATAATTGAAAAAAACGTTATCAGTATTGTTATTATTTAAATAATAAAATTAGTTAAAAATTATTGAAAACATTATTATTTCTATCGATTTTGTTATTATTAGGCGTTTTATCGATTTTATTAACAAAACCGATAAAATATTACTGATTTTGTTATTATTAGATATTTTATCAAAAATATTAATATTTTAAATTAAAATAATAATATTTTTTACTAATTTTATTATTTAAATAATAACAACATTTTTTAATTATATATTAAGGCTCCCGTATCTTTTCTTCTTTATAGATTTACTTTCCTGGCGCTTTACTTGTAAGAACGATCCTCAGCTTGGCCGGTTCTTAAGTCGGCCGTTCGTCTCTGTTCAGCTGCTCCTTTGAAGGGCGACCGCCAGGCTTCGGTCACGTGGCCATCTTTTTTTTTTTTTTTTAACTTTTTCTAGCTCCGCCATGAGAAAACCTCGATTTTTAGATCTCTAAGTTCTAAATCTGAATCTATCTTTAGACAGCTTCGCCGGTTCTTGAGTCGGACGTTCGTCTCTGTTCAGCTGCTCCTTTGAAGGTCGACCGCCAGGCTTCGGTCACGTGGCCATCTTTTTTTAACTTTTTCTAGCTCCGCCATGAGAAAACCTCAATTTTTAGATCTCTAAGTTCTAAATCTCAATCTGAATCTATCTTTAGATTTACTTTTAGGTTTTTTGTTAATATTTTTCGTTTTAGAGATATGGCGACGAGGAACCGGACTCTGTTATTCAGGAAATACAGGGATGCGTTAAAGAGTGTAAGAATTCCGACGAGTTCGCCGGCATCATCTTCTGCCACGAGGAGCTCCGGAGGAGGACCGGTGATTGAGATGGTTAGTACTTCGTTGCTCCATCCAAATCGTTCTTATACTCCTCTAAGTACCGAGGATCCTGGAAATTCAAGGTAATTCGCAACTATTATTAATTTGTTCATATGAGATTCGGGATTAAACATCACGGTCGGGATTAATACTTGTTTTTTATTCTTCTCTTGCGTGAATTTATTTCAACGTAATTAATTAGCTCAATTTAGCTGAATAGGTCTCCTTTTATTTGAAGCAGAATTGATATAGTTTAGGCTTAAGAAGAATTGCTAAATTATCATGTTAAGTAATTAGTTTTCGAGGAATCAGCATCCAACAGATTCTTACAAATGAATGTGCTTGAACCTGTTTGATATCTTCAAACAATTCATACTAGAATTATTTAGTTGCGAGATATTTTGAATGATTTTGGAAGAGCTACAAAGATTATGAGTTGGTTAAGTTTATGCAGTACAATGAAAGACCAAGGCTTTGCAATGAGGGATTGTAGATATAAATTACAATTGGGTTTTCTTTTGAAGTTCATGTTCTCGTTCAAATAGTTATGAGTTCTTATATATATCTGTTTGAATGTTCATAAAACTCTGTAGTAGGAAAAATAAGGGTTGTCTATCTGTTGCAGTAAGGGCACCAATGCAGTTACAGTAGGTCTACCTCCAGCTTGGGTAGATGTGTCTGAAGAAATAGCAGCAAATGTGCAACGAGCACGAGCAAAAATGGCCGAGTTAGCAAAGGCTCATGCAAAGGCTTTAATGCCTTCGTTTGGTGATGGTAAAGAAGACCAACGCAATATTGAGGCTCTTACCCATGAGATAACTAATCTGTTGAAGAAATCAGAGAAGAGATTACAGAAACTCTCTGCAACTGGACCTTCTGAGGATTCAAATGTCAGGAAAAATGTCCAGGTAAGGCTTATTGATGGTGAGACAAAAGGTCATCTTCGATGTTTCTCTTCCATATACGTGTCATTGAAGAAGGGAAGATAATAATGCCTGATGCGTAGTGCTTTATCCTCTATACCCTCCGACATAATTTTAAGCTTTTATTCGCTTAGAAGATGTGTTATTCTGAACTGTTCTTTTCTTTACATTTCTTGCTTTTCATGTTTCTCTCCTTTTTGGCAGCGTCAACTTGCTACTGACCTTCAGAACTTATCAATGGAGATTCGGAAGAAGCAATCAACTTATTTGAAGCGCCTCAGGCAGCAAAAGGAGGTATAGAGAAGAAACTTCTTTCTCTACATTGCATTATTATATAGTATTTGATTGGAGTTTCACATGCTAAACAATCCATTTAATTTTGATTTCTGACTTATTCTAGTCATTTCTGTTTTTTGCACTCTTATAATGCATTTTGTGCAATGTTTTAACTAATTTATCTGTTTCTGTTGTAGGGCCAGGATGGAGTTGATCTAGAGATGAATATAAATGGAAATAGGTCTAAAACAGAAGACGATGACTTGGACGATATGGTATACTGGTTTCTTTAAACTCTCTTCCTTCCATTATATACAATCTAACTGAACACATTTTAGGAAGCATGAGCTTTAGATGAATGCCAAATCATATGTTAGGATCTTGACACTCAATTGTTGGCAATCAAGCTCCAAAATGTGCCTACTTCAACTTCCATATGTTTTCCTTGTATATCATAATCAGGTTTTGATGGATTTGTGTCTTTTATCTGATTCGAGTTTGGTGTCACATTCTCATGTTGCACGATTATGTTCATGTAGGTTAGTGAGCATTCAATGGCAAAATTAAAACAAAGTGAAGCATTAACAGTTGAGAGGGAAAGGGAGATTCAACAGGCAAGTCTATTGCTCTTGATCTTTTTGTCATCTGATTCTGTGTTCATAGCTATCCGGAATTTATTATCTATGCTTGTGTTATAATGGATTTTGTAGGTTGTGGAGTCTGTAAATGAGCTTGCTCAGATTATGAAGGATCTGTCAGTTCTTGTGATTGATCAGGTAGGAATCCATCTAGCATTAATAATAGGTTATAAACTTTTCTCGGAGTTATTAAATTCAGTCTACAAACAGGGTACCATTGTCGACCGGATAGACTACAACATTCAAAATGTTGCAACTACGGTCGAAGAAGGCCTCAAACAACTACAAAAGGTCTTTCATCTTTGCCCATGATTGATCTTCATTTACACAATTTTCAAGGAGTCATTCTAATTCTTGTATGGATTCGAGTTGTAGGCAGAGAGAACACAGAAACAAGGAGGCATGGTGATGTGTGCTACGGTGCTCGTTATAATGTGCTTTGTCATGTTGGTCCTTCTGATTCTCAAGGAGATACTCTTCTGATCCACAACCATGGCTTTTTCTCTCGACTATTTCCTTTTTGACCTGCTGTGTAAGCCAAGTACTTTACATGTCGAGAAGCAACAATTTCCATGGACAGCAGCAAAAGAACGTTGGAAAATTTGAGTAGCCCCACATACTCATACGACTTTAGAGGCTTGTGTTTACTTTCTTTCTCTTTGATTTTTCATTTTCTGTCGTCCTTTGGAGAAACTGGGAAGAGAGGGAAAGGAGGGGTTTTGAGGATTGATCTATATAGAGCTTATAAGTTAAAAGTTGTATTCTTTTTACTTGATCAAAGGAAGGGAAGGAGTGATGTTGATTCTTTAAAACTCGGTGGGTAGGGAATTTCTAGTTGTAGTTGGTTCCCACGAGGAGATGAGGTGTTTGCTTATATATTACCGTACATGTATCAATTCTTTTGGTTTCAAAGAAATGACAAAATCCACTTCGTGAGAATTAAGCTCATATATATATATATATATATGAAGTTGCTATTAGGATTTAGTGGCAAAGCCTGAAAGTAACAATCATCGACCAAAGGAATCTATAGCCTCGTTCGGTTGTATATCTGCCTAGATATCAGCTTCATTTTTTTTATTCTAGGGAATAATTTATATTATCTCGATACTAAAGGAAGCAGCTTCCGTAGCTCGGTTAGAGCACCGCTTTAGTAAGCAGGAGGTCTTGAGTTTTTCTCTAGACGAAAGCAGGTTGTTTTGAATGCCTTTGCATGCAGGGCCATCGCCCTACGCTGTCTTTTACATCACTATACAACGCCTTTTTCTCTACTGAAAAAACAATGCTTGCTGTTCCGAGAACACAAATAGTAATCAATGAAGCCTAACTACAATTTTGGAACTCTTTTTAGTTTAAACAGAGGATTGAAAGTTGGTAAACTATATAACTCAATGAGGCTTGCTGATTGTTTAGCTTGCAAGAATCAAGCAGGCCTTAGGTTTGGTGACGTTGAGGACGATGCAAGCTCATCACCTTCTCAACAAAACACCCCATAAGATGGAACAAAACGTAAAACAGAAATCAAAACCATAAACTATACCATTCCCAAAGTGAAGAAAAGGAAATTATTATGATCTTTTTATGCAGATTTCCCCTCAAAGAACCATCATTCGTAACGAAACACACGAGTAGTGTTACTTGGATGATACACTTAAGTAGATTCGAATAAATGGGAATGGGTATAAAGTTGGTCGTGAATGATGAAACTGTGAATTGTAATCATATTTAGTACATTGCATCCATTTTTGTGATCAGAAGAGGGCTTCCAACCATTTTTTATAATATCCAATTGCATTGGTTTTATAATATGAACCGTCCAAACAATGAACGTATACGGAATTTCAATGCTCTCTTTAAAACTATTTCCTAAACCCTAAACCCCACCACACGTCCAAACCCTAAAACTCTCATTTCTAATCCCATGCGTTCTTCTCCAACCATTTATGGTTGGATACATAGGACATCGTGAAATTTTATATTAGAAAAATACATTTATACCTCTTTGAGAGAAAAAAATACTAATAAAAAATATATATAAAAAAGTTAATTTTTTTTTTGAGAGAACAATATCTTTGTTGGTCTCTCAAGTCATCTTGATAATTGTAAACTAACTGTGGACACCCGTTTTTGTCCGGGTCTTTTTTATTTATTTTTATTTTTATTTTTTATTTTTATTTATTTTTATTATTATTAATTATTATTAACTATTATTATTAATTTTACATATTACATTTTTGCAGGCTTAGAAGCCCAATTCAGATTACAAAGGCCCAATCCCGGAGCCCAACAACCCAGACCTGCGGCCCAGCAATCGGCCCAAACCCGCTAGGGTTACCCCTTCTCTGCCTCAGCGCCGCACCATCAAGACCGTCTGATCTGGACCCATCCAATGGTCCAGATCAAAGGTCATTTAGGTCTAAAACCCTAACCGTTCAGTAGCCGTCGCCCTCAACAGAGGAAATGTCGTGCCGCCGCCGCAAGTTCCGGCCCACTCCGATGATCTAGTCACTGTTACCACACCACCATCGTCATCTACAGTGAAACATATCACCAAATCAGTATATATTTCATCTACAGTAGCCTAAATCCGAAAACCCATTAAAATAACACCCCAAAATCCTGAAAAATCTGGACTTTATCCACCCAAATCAGAGAAATCAAATCCTATCTACCTAGATATCATCATCATATCACCAAATACTCAACATAAATCAAGGGAACGAAACCAAAAAAAAAAAAGGAAGGAAACGAAAAAGAAAAATACAGAGAGAGATTCGAAACAGAAAAAAAAAAAGGAGAGGCATCTTACCTTTAGAGAGAGATCCGAGCGTTGTATCTTCGCCGGAGTGAACAGGAGCCACTACCGAAGGTAAAACAACCTCTCTTTTCCTAGATCTAGTTTTTCTTGGGGTGGGTTTTCGTTTGTTTTTTTTGTTGGTTGAGGTCTGGGAGAGGAAGTAGAGTGATTGAGGTTGTGTTGCTCCCCGTGGCCACCGGCTTACGGTGGCCGGGGAGCCGTGTTGTTCTCGTGAGGAGAAACGAGGAAGAAGGGAAGGGGAGGGAAGAACGAGTGAAACGGCTGAGGAAATGGGGAGCGAGCAAATGATTTTAGGGTTTTAGAATAACCCTTAAAAGGGTTATATTTCAGACGTCGAGCAACGTCGTTTTGAAGCAAGAGGGAGGCCGAGTGATGGGATTAAGGGCTAATAGCCTATTTGGTCCTCTTACCTCTGTAATCTTGCACGCGTGTTCTTAACATTTATGGGTAAATAACAGTTTAGGTCCCTCAAGCTTTTGTAAGGGTTGTAATCTGGTCACTAAATGAAATCCATGCAATCTTATTTCGAGCCTATAGTTTTATTTTGTTTTATTTGAATCACTAGTTTATATATTATGTATGTTTTATGATCTTCGAATTTGGACATGTGATTTATGTTTTTTTTCATTTTGGTCACTGGACTGGTTATTGTTAATATTTTTGAAAGTTTAGACATTGTACTCTTTATTTATGAAACTTTTATCTTGATCACTACTCTCATATTTTGGGTTAAATATCGATTAATGTCTGTTTATTTTACTTTCATTATATTTTAGTCCTTATCTGGTTTATTATTACATTTTTATTAGAGTTCGAATTTGGCCATATTATTTTATGCATGTTTCGTTTTAGTCCCTGTTTAACATTTGGCTTAATTATGGTTTAGTTCTTTATGTTTTTTTCATTTCATTTTGGTCCCTAATATGATTTATGGTTTAGTTTTTTACTGTTTTTTTAAAATATTTGTTAATTATATTTTAGCCCCTTAAATGTTTTAATATTTATTTTGGGCTGTAATATTTACTAATTTGTATTTTAGTCATTTATGTATGGATGTGCATTTTACTCATTAGTTAATTATTGGTATTGTGTTTACTTTAATTTAATGTAAATCTTTGTATTTCCAATCACATTTATTTTCATTATATTTTTATCTATGTAAGAAATATTCGATTATATTTTCAAGAACACGTATGCGTAGAATGGGCGTGGAAAGTACCACTTGGTCGAAGTGGTACGATCCGATACGGCATTTTAACGACATAGGGACTTGTAACAAGTCGAGTATATTTTACTAATTAATTTATTAAAATGATGTAATATGTGGTACCTTAAGTGACACTCACTTTATTTTATGTGAATGTAAATTTTAAATTTTCATTTTATATTCGTTACACGTTTTTAAATAAATGATGAGAGAATATTCTTTAAAAGATAAGAAATAGACGAGTTAACTTTCCCGATGGAGGATTGTTAATCTCGAGATTTCCTTTCAAATTAAAGAATTTTCTCTGATAAAATAATTCGAAGTAAATTAATTAAATCTCAATAAACGAATCATATTTTAGCTTTATATTCAATTTGTAATTTCCACCATTTACGACGATGTGTAAGCTACACAGTACCAATTTTGGGCGTTGTGGGGTGTTTACCCTTCCCCACACGTAACCGACTCCCGAACCTGTTTTAAATGAATCTTTGGTAACGTAGACCAAATTTTTGTCTTATAAAATTATTTTTCTTAAAATTGTTTTTAAAAGACGTTTTTAGGTATTTGACCTACCTAACCCAAAGGTCGATGGCGACTTTTTTCAATTTTATTCAAATCCATTCAAAATCACCAAATTTTCCAAATTAAAGTCATAATTGTTTTTAAAAAAAATAATATTTAATTGTTTTACCTAAAAAATGGTTATGACACTAACCACAAAGCAAAATTGAAATAAACAAGTACCTTTATGGGGTATGAATTATTCCACTCCAAATTAGAATGGTGGATTATCTACGGTTTTTCTATTATGAAAGAATATTATTTATCTCACTCCGTTATATGGAATTATTATTTTACATTTATATATATATATATATATGATTATTAAGGAAATAAAAAAATATAGAAATTCATTATAAAAAATCTTAATTTCTTTTACGCTTAGATAATTGTAGAAAAAAATTCTTAAAAGACTATATCAAATATTTATTTAGTTTAAAACTTTAAATATATTAAAAATGATTAGTAAAAATCAAATAGAATCAAAGTAAGATAGTATGTACCATGTAGATGAATGTATCTAACCATGGAAGTATAAATGATTTTCAAAATTATACTTCCAAGAATAAAACTAAAGAATAAATGGAAAACTAAAAAAATTAACATGATAAACGAAGAGAGAGATAATTTTATTAGAAAATGAAAAGTTAAAATTCTAAAATTTTACTAGGAATGAACACTAAAGATTATGAACAAGCAAAAACGTGAGTCGCATAAACATATCAAAATTTATACAAAAAGGAAAAGCAATACGTGCAAAGTTGCGTTGCTCAGAGGACAAATAGAATATCAAACCATTCATTAATTACAGTAACGATACACTGTATGTCGACAAGATTTGCCCATTATGACCAAAGACACATTGGTTACATACTATATAAAAGAAAAATATAACAATTTGACATGTAAACCTGCAAAATTTGCATTTTATTACAGTTTAAGAGGGGGGCACTAACGTGGTTTGAGTGAGGAAACTAGTTATTCACACAATCAGAGAAGATGAACAGAAAAAAGATTTATACATTGGTATTATCATTCAAAGAAAAATAACAAACCTGTGTTTATGCATCATCTCCGGTGACGACATTTACAACTGTGCGAAGAGCGGGAATCAGCATGGAAGGAGATGGATGCCTGCTTAAGCCGCGGGATTTTAGATTTAGGTCAGGCAAACAAACAAATCATAAATAGAAATACTTTTCAGAGTGAATGAAAAGCAAATAATCTTCAGTCACATCAAAATTTCTACCAAACGCCCACACACACCACCTTCGATAACAGCTTGAATTTTTCAACATGCATCAGCTAATACTTCATCATTTGAATGAATAAGATGTGCCAATGCAGGAAGTGCAGGCTTAACCTGAACAAAACATAAAGGATAAATTAGTAAGGCAGTAATTAATTCAACTCCAGCAGTGAGTTGCCACATGATATTCAGCCAGAAAATAAAACTCTGTATTCATAAGCCATCTCACTCTCCGATTTAATTTTAGCAATGCACGATATCTCAACTCTCTGCTTTATGTTTTGCAAGAGTTTAATTGATTTTTTGAAATAAATATGGACCCTTTCTTCTAAATCTTTATGTCTTGAAGTCCAAGATGAGCCCAAGTTGGATTCCGTGAGGAACAAAACTGGGTTCGATCCGACATAAAGCTTGGAGTTTGGATAAAGTAATCCATGGAAGCTCATTAACAAAAGCCCATTTGTTATTTCCTCCTTATCTCTGAAAAGTTAAAATCCTGAAAAATCTAGCAGCTTGCGTGTCCAAAGCTGGTGACATGAAAAATTCTGTGAAATGATATTAAAAAAAAAGGCGGGCCCCACAATTCGACGATCAACGGCTGAGAAAGGAAAACGAAGCCCCTTTTGTCATCTCAATTGAAACTCCCCCAACACTTGTCCGGAATCATGGAGAAGTTTCTAGAACTTTTTTGCTTTTCGCCATTCTTACAGAACTCAACACATAATAATCTATCTAGAACCTTCTTTTCCACCGCCACTTATAAATATCTAACCCCCCTATGTCTCTTACATTTGATAATCCAACGAACTCTGTCAGTTGTTTTTTTCCTTACAAAGATTGAAGATTTTTCAGACGGAACATAGAAAAAAGGTAGAACACTCTAACAGTATACAAGGATTGATGGAAGAAGTGGTAATAAAGGAAGAGGAAACTCAAGTGACGTTTGCTGCTCCTGGAACGGCGGGGTTATCTTCATCTTCATCGTCTTCTTCGTCTTCTAATGCCACTCCGCAGCCGCGGGAAGGGCTTAACGAGGTTGGTCCGCCGCCGTTCCTCACCAAAACTTTCGAAATGGTCGAAGACCCATCGACAGACTCGGTAGTTTCATGGAGTAAAGCTCGAAACAGCTTCATTGTTTGGGACTCCCATAAATTCTCCACCACTCTGCTTCCTAGGTATTTCAAGCACAACAATTTCTCCAGTTTCATTCGCCAGCTCAATACATATGTAAGTATCTCACTTCAAAATTTTCGCTTAGTTTCATCATCAATTCAACATGTAGTATTCAGTTTAATGGTGGATTTGAATGCAGGGCTTTCGAAAAACTGATCCAGATAGATGGGAATTTGCAAATGAAGGGTTTCTGGGAGGGAAAAAGCACCTATTGAAAACGATCAAGAGGAGAAGAAATTTGGTGCCGAGCTCGCAACATCAAGGTGGAGGAGCTTGTGTTGAGTTAGGACAATTTGGATTAGATGAAGAAGTGGAACGATTAAAGAGGGATCGAAGTGTTTTACTAGCCGAAATCGTGCGATTAAGGCAGCAACAGCAGCATTCAAGGTACCAAGTTGTTGCAATGGAGGAAAGGTTACAGAACACAGAGAGGAAACAGCAGCAGATAATGACATTCCTTGCTAAAGCTCTACGAAACCCAACTTTTATCCAGCAATTCGCTCAGCAAAGACAGGTTCATGGGGTCGAAATCGGGCGAAAACGCCGACTAGTAGCGAGCCCCAGCTTGGAGAATTTGCAGCAAGAAGCAGTCCCTGTGGTGGTCGATAATGATCAAGTCGAGGAACAAGAAGAATTGGCTACCATCGAGTCAGAGATCGAGACGTTTTTCACATCCGCCATGGACAATGAATCCAGCAGTGAAATCAAGGATCATATAACAAGTCCAATGCCCGTGTCGAATGTGACTAACAGCTTGGGTGTCAATGATACGATATGGGAAGAGTTAATAAATGAAGATTTGATAGGTGGTGAACCAACGGAGGAACTCGTGGTTGGTGATCAAGCTGAAGTTGATGTTCAAGTTGAAGATTTGGCAGCAAACCAAGCAGATTGGGTTGATGATTTGCAGGAACTTGTGGATCAAATGGGTTATCTCAGATCAAATCCATGACCAAGAGAAAAAAAACACATTAATGGAATGCAGGATTCTAGGCTTTGACTTGAGTTGGTCTCTTTGGCACCATTCCTTGTTTTATTAAACTGGTATGTTCATCAAAATCTCATCTTGTTGTTCATGTTGTTTATGGTTATTGCTTGTGATACTTAACATGTATATGATTTCTCTTACAGCAGGGAATGGTGAAAGTTGCTTAGGGGCCAACAATTGTTCTTGTTAACCACTGTATCCTTTATTAATCGCCAACTCGTATCTTTTTTGTTCTTCGGAGAAACTCTTTCAAAGCTTTATTAGTTTATAACATGTATATTTATTGTTACAAAAAGGGCCAAAACCCTTCACATAAGAGGAGGAAACACTACATAAGATCTATAAATATTCTAACCTAAAACATCTAGGAGAGTGTTGCCCCCCGATTGCACCCACGAATCAACATGAAGCGCATCCACTTATACTCGGAGAAAGCTTAATAGCTTTTAAAGTCAATCTAGCTAATTATATATAAACAAACTTGGTGGCGAGCCGCCTTTGTGCGGCACTGCGACTAATTGACCTCCATCGGATAACAGCTCGTAACTTCAACCACCTAGCTTTGGGCCACACATCTCTGGTCTCTCTAATGCTTTGGCTATTTACATTTGGGAAAGATGAAAGGATGCCTACCGATGATTCGGAAGTCAAAGTCGAAATATTAGATCCACGGGGTAGTCCCCATGCAGGAGTAGTTGAACTCCAGATTGGCATTTCGGCTTGAGAATTATCCTCGGTCGCGAAATGATCATCTGTGAAAAATGACACTGTTCTGTCCATTGGATTGGAAGATTCCTCCCAATCTGAAGCCGGTTCTTAGTGTTGAATTGAAAGCTTTGATAGCAGGTTCATCACGTGGTAAAGAAACCTGTAATTGATTGGCATCTTTCATTCCATAGGCATAGGATGTTGAGGATTGGTTGAAATAACTATTTGATGTATCTGGTTCATCTTCATACATACATAAAAGAATGAACTCGATCAAGGCGTGATTTGTTTATTGAAATGACAATTATGTCTATACAAGAAAATTATTGTACCTTGCTTTTCAACTGAGAAATCAGTTTGTTGCAGAAGTAAATTTGGGATACCAAGTGGCTCAGGCAGATCTGTCAAGGGAATTGAGGGTCCCGTAGTTGCTCGCCGGTCGACCAAAACCAGGTACTGAACATTTTTGTAAGCTTGTCTCTTTGCATCTTCCACCAGAAGCTGGAAATCAAGCAGAGAATCATTCGATATCGTCATATGGTACATATCTGTGAAGTACAGTAAATGAATACTCCATAAGAGCTCATATAAATACGAACTTTTTGAGAAAAGGTCAATTTTTCCACGGGGTGGTAATTTTCGCCATCCAATGTTGCTGCCACAACTCTGTAAATGGAGTCTAATAGAAGTCCAACGCTTTGTGCGGTTCCATAGTAGGAATACCACTCATCATCAAGAGCACAAGTCAAAGCATGATCTATGATTGTATCCCATACCCGATTCGAGATACCACCACCGAGTATCTGCAGTAATTAATATCACAAATCAGATTAGTTCAGCAGAACAAATCCACACTATATACGTGTGTGTGTATATATATATATACTCGTATCCCTAAACTACACCGCGCACACACGGAGGTACATACTCATAACTGCACTCATCTCAAATCAAGTAACATAGACCATGACAATAACATGTATGCTCAAAATATTGTAATTGAAATAAAGAGATTACTCTCTTACATCGCGCAGTGAAGATGGATCCGTAACATGCAACCTCAGGAAGTCCTTGACTGTGAAAATATTATGAGAGGTGAGACGTTTATGGAAGGCACCATCTTTGGCTATCCTTTCCAGACGCCATACTTCATCATGGGGGAAGGGAGGGTAGTGCTTCTTGTACACTGCATATACAAGTACCATTAATTAGTTGATGTACAGAAGAGATTATAGAAGCTGAAGTTTATAAACAGCATTTGAACAGTGAACTTACACTCTCCACGATGATCCTTCACCACGAATGCTTCACTTGTAGCCTCCCTGATTGTTGATTCACCAAAAGTTATCTGCATAATTCTAGCTCCTAGTCTAAACTTTCGACTTCTTATCCAGCTAGAATTATCGGTGAAAATCACATTATCAACTGTTCCCACACCATCAACCAATGTGATACTGAGATCACCCGTCACCAGTGGCCTTCTACCTTCTCTTTCACGAAGAACACTGGCATTGAATTCACATTCTGTCCAATCTTCTCGTTCGTCACTGCCAAACTCACCATTAAGGACTACAATTTCAACCTTAATAGAAGACAGTGAACCAGATGAGATCATCATTTCCGTAGTTGCATCAACTAGGATAATCCTAATGGTCTCCCCATCCTCTGCTTCAACCTTGCGTCCAGTAAATATGGTAGAGGGTAGTTTATTGACAAATCGTAACTGCAAGCTTCTTCCTCTAGATGCTTCAATCTTATTAAGTAAGGACCTAAAACGCCAGTAAACAAAAGACCAGTGTTAGACAATTAATTGAGATGAATACTTATTTAGACATGAATGGCATATTCTAGTGTTCAATTCATTGCAGCAAAATCTTTTAACATGTGTTCTATGCAAACAGGTCCAATATAGCTTACCTTGAAGATGGGTGAAAGGAAGATAGAATTGCTCTTTCCACTTCTTCCCTTACCTATTCACAAATGACATGTACGAGAATTAAAAAACAGAGATGTATAATAAACACGAGTATTTTAATGGAAATGAAGAGTTTGAGTAACATAAACGACATCTAAACATCTCAAGTTACAAGATTTGCTGCTAATGTAAACTCAAAACGATCCGATGATTGAACTAACCCATGATCGAAGCATCGGTTCCAGGTTGAGCACAATTCTATTAAAGGAAAGCCTTCCAAATCCCATTATGCTTCTAACAGCACTGGATCACAAACATGTGAATGATTAATTAGCTTAGAACCATAAAGAACCAAACTCGTCTCATTTCATGCATAAATAAACCAAACTCACTCCTTAAGGGTAGCCCTTTTCGGCTCAGGAGCCATAGATTCAAACCTCTCATCAGCTCCATCAGGAGCAGGCCTCTTACAAGGCAACTTCATGGGAAGCAACAGAAGCTGGAATTGACAATGGTTTAATGTAAGGCTAAAACTAAACACTTGGAGAGCATGTAATATTCAAACCCCAGTAAGCAAAACCTTCTCCAGCTGTCCCTTTTATATGAACTAGCAGTAAATAGCATTGTTTCAGTTGACTAATAAATACAACTAAAATCATTCGTTGAATATTACCAGGAAACTTACACACAAAAAAAGCATCACTAATTCCGAAACACGTATTGCTACTAAAGTCAAGAAAAAAAATTGTAATGAAAGCATTCAGAGCAACAAGAAAAATCCAAAAAAGAAAGGAGCTAGCAACTAAATCATTATTAAAATATAGGGTATTTCTATGAGGACATGTACATGCTTGAATTCTACACATGACTAGACTTCAATACCCAGACAAGTAAAGTTGAAAAAAGAAACCGGGTTTTCGGGTTTACAAATGGTGCAACGAGAACAAAACGCGTGAATGATCATTGAAACGTACGTAAAATGGCAAATCAAAACGAGTAATCCAATAAAAAAAGTTTTTTTTTTGTTAGTAGTGGTTCTTCGGACAGAAAACACGGTGGATTAAAAACGCGTGCAAGAAGAAGAAACCATTTTTTGTAATGTTTTTCTACAAATACCGCGTTGTGCTGGGTTGCGATCTTTTGTTAGATTTGAAAACGTCTTTCTCTTCTCATGATTTATCATTCAACTGAATTTCGAATTCGTGAAAAAAAATACTGAATTTCAGACAAAAACTAAGCATGTATTGTAGTGAATAATTTTTTTTCCTGAAAAAATTATTCATTCTTGCTTTTTCAAGCAATATTGTGAAGATTGTTCCTGGTAAAACACCAACTTTTATTAGGTAAAAAAGAGAGAATCATCGACTGACATTTGTTCGTTAAGCCAGTAGCTTTCAGAACATTTATATATAAAACTAACAACGAATATTATCTACCTACTCTTGACAGTGACTAGAACAATTTGGTATTGTCTTTAAAAATAATTTTAAAAATACTATAAAATGTTACTTTTTAAAGTATTTTTAAAAAGTATAATTTAAATTTTAATTATTTAAGATTGCTGTCAAAAAATAATCTTAAAAAGGTAAAATATATATTTTAGATATTATATTATAAATTGAAAATATAATATTTGAGGATAAAATATAATTTCACAAAAAAAAAATTATTATTAGAATCATTCTGAAACAGGTCCTAAACATCCAATTATAATTTGACTAAATTTAATAAGAAAAAAAGTTTTTTTTATTAATGTGATTATTAGTAATATGATCCAAAGGTTTTCAAATATTTGACAATAAAAGTTCAAACACCTTTATAATTTTTAATGCTCGAACCTAAAACTTCTAAGGATAACAATAATCCCTTCAACCACTAATATAACTTAGTTCATGCTAAAATAAAGTTTTATTAATTCTAAGTACTTAATACAATTTACATTAATAAAGTTTTATTAATTCTAAATACTTAATACGATTTACATTAATTGGACTAAATTTCCAATTATTTTATCTCTCTTAATATTGGATTACAAAATGGATCACAAGTTAAAAATAATATAAAATTAAAATTTTATTTATTTATTATGTTTTTTTAAATGGTGATATATACATCTGTCACAATAAATATTGGAGTTCGAACCCACGCAAAAATTAGAGTGGGTGAGCATCTCGATTACTAGGGATGGCAAAAAAATTTGAATCTGATGGGGGAAAATCGAAAATCGAATTAAACGGGTCGGGTTCGGGGATGATAAACGGGGACGGAGACGGTGATAGAGAAAAACCGTTTATGCTAAACGGGGACGGGGATGGGGTTGGGTTTGATAATCCCCACCCCGATTACCCACCCCGATAAATATTAAAAATAATTATATATATATATATATATATATAATATTAATAAATTTAATTTAAATTAAAAAATATATATAATATTTACATATTTAATTTAAATATATATACCCGGCCCGATACCCGTTTAAATAATCGTTTATGCTAAACGGGAATATCCGTTTCCCCGCGGTTTTTCCCGATTACCCGATGGGTATCCCCGTTTAAATCCCCGCGGTTTTTTAAGCGGGAACGGTATATGTTTTTTAAACGAGGACGGACGGGGGGACCAATACCCGGCCCGAACCCGAGCCGTTGCCATCCCTACCGATTACCGATTGAATTGGTCTTAATTTAGATGGGGTTGTATCTTTTTCAATAGGTTTTAACTCGATTGAGCACCACCAGCTGCAAGGGTAATTGAACGTTTATTGCCAAATGATTAAAAATATTTAAAATAGATATTATTTTGTAATCATCTTAACTTAATAATAATAATAACTTTACGGAAGGAATCTACTAAGGTCTAAAACTCATTTGTAGAAAAGATTAAGTTCGTTGATTTTTATTTGATTTGACGAAAAGTTAATGAGGCGGCTAATTGCATGACCAAAATCGATTTCTTACTATATAGAACACTCTTTGTTTTTGAGACATAAAAAACTTACGCACACCTGTAGTAAAATTATTCTAATCTAAATCAACAGCATTCAGTTTATCACTAGAATAGGTTTCTTGATCACACAACGTTCATTATTATGTCGATTACTGCTGTCGTTCGCGAAGAGCCATTCAATCCATTCCATAATCTCAAAGGTGTTCACATTCCTTGGCCAGCGAAAACCCAAGAAGTCCAAACACTAATAGCAAAAGAATGTCTAGAGTCTTCTATTACCTGTTTGCATCGAGGACACAAAGCATTAGGGACCACCCGCTTAATGGATAGATTAAGCATGGTGGGAATGAAATTTTGGCAGAATTTCCAGACCAAGATTCGAATCTTAGAAGGGCAGGAGAGACCCCATAAATGTTTATAGAATGGACCCGAATAGATGTTTCGAGTCATTTGCTGAACAAGTAACCGATAGCCACTCTTAATAGAGTAAATTCCAGTGCGCTCTTCATTCCATACAAAAAGATCAGCCTGAGTAGAACTTGAAATAGGAATACTGACAATAGCCTGCGCTATATTGGGAGGAAAGATTGACTGAATTAGCAAAGTGTTCCACTCCCTAGTTCCATGTTGTATCAAATCAGCAACCAGATGTATGTCATCCGTGCGAAACAAGGACAAAACTTGAGGTGGAAATTGTGCAACCAGAAATCGTTCCATAGGGAAGTGGACAGACCAGTTCCCACCTTCCAACAACATCCTTTGTTCAAGAATCCCCTGGAGATCCATATACTTCTCCAAATAAGAGACGGGTTAGAACTCAAAGAGCTTTATCAAAAGATGAACTAGGGAAATATTTTGCACGCAAAACTCGCGCCATTAAAGAGCCCGGATCAGTGATAAGGCGCTAACCCTGTTGAGCTAGCAAAGCAATATTAAATTTGTCGAGGTCTCTAAAACGCATACCCCTTTCTCTTTAGG